AACCATGCGAGTTTTTATGATCTGCGAGGAACATAAAACCAATACAAACAGCGGTCAAGGTTTTAAATATATATTTTCTTCCCTTATTTCTTTAATATTTCATTTTATGGGATAAAATGTTGAGCCGACACAAAGAATATTATTCCTGGGCATTACGTTTTTTGTTTTTTTACTTTATTTTCATTTGTTGTTGTTGTTTTTCTTTACTTTCCGTAAAACATTCTGCATTTTTCGTGTAATTTTGCTAATTTTAATGCTTCCGAGGGATTACTTTTTCCAGATATTGTTTCACTAAACATATTCTATATATTTACTTAAAATATTACTACATTTAAAGATCTTGTATGTTGTATTTAAGGCTTTAAGTGTTACCACACTTTAGTGAAATTATATATATGTATATAATTATGCTTCTAAAACAATTTTCAAACATCGAAGAATATGTAAAGTACAGCATATATAATGTCACGTTGTATGTTATCATTAAAATATATGCATTCATTTCTTATTGAAAAAATTGACTTAGACTTTATAGAAAATAAATTTCTAATGACCTCCCTTTACTAATATGAAAATGTAAATTCCGTAATATCTTTACAAATAATGCTTTTTGGAACTTACAATATTGATAAATCTTCATTTGAGCATTATACTTATGATATAAAACCATAAAAATTCGAATAACGGGATCTTTAAGACATAACCAGCATTGGGTAAATAGTTTGGCGGCATACTATTTGATATATCTGCCTATCTCTCTCAACTTAAGGGTCGTTTACTCCAGCCGAGATTGGGAAACGATCATCTCGCATACTAGTATCACAAAATGAGATTAGATAATAACAATTTAATATTTCAAGTACTGTGTATTTTGTAATGCGTTAGATTACTATAATACATGTGTATGTAGGTGAACAAATCAGTTTATTTTAGTCTGACTATGTCGGAAACTATAATCTAATTGAAAAACTCTCGAATCCGCCGTTCCTGGAACCAACCAGTACTAAGCAACGAGTTTAAAGTTGCTTGCTCACGGAAACGGCTTGCCCCTGACAGGGTTGACACCCACACGGCCAACAATCCTTAAATTACCAGGCCGACACGTTAACCATACACTCGGCCACGCCGCTACTGCTGATACCATATGTCAAATACAAGTTTATTTTCGTTTTTCAGTTTGAAATGGCAAAAATACTGACCACGCATGGCGAAAATAATCAATTTTTATTGGTGGAATAAATACCTTGTACACCAGTCCCATCCCTTGTACACTATTTCAGGCACGAGCCAGCATTCGACTTGAGCCAGCTTTCGACTTCAATAAGGGAATTTCTGAAAAGCTTCCCAACACTTAAATGGCTTAATATAATGTAGATGACTTTTTTTTATTGAAAATGAAAACTTTTGTTTTAATAAATTACTTTATTTTTTTGTCAAATATAATGTTAAGTCAAAACAATGTCACAAAACCAGGATATTATAAATGAGAAATAATGTTATGTAAGTACATGAAACAACTTGACCTGTCTCTGGTCATTTAAATATTCAATAATAAATCAACTTCCATTCCACCTCCCTATATCCCATCCCTTTTTTATAATAAAATTAATTAAGACTTCTGTTTAAATTTGGCACTTTCCATCGTCAAAACTAAAGCTGAAATATCAATGTTAAAAAAACCCAAAGGAAATAAAATTTCACCGGCCGAATCATTACCATCTATTCTGAAAGATTCTAATTTTCATTCTAAATTTCATAGCGGACTAATTTTTGTAATAATTATAAACAGGCTGTATTAAAACTTAAAGATTGACTATGCTCATATTTAAAAATTAAAAAGTATTGTTAATTGCTTCAGTCTCTTTGTAAATATAAAATAAACGTGTTTTGACTTCACACAAAGAAGATATGTTATGTTTAAGATCCTACAACCTATAAATGGTCACCATATGAATACATGTATATAGTGCCATTAAAAAAGGCAGCTTTTTTAAAGAAAAGACCAACTTTACTTGACCTTTAATATTGAACACAGCTTCTCATACAAAGTTTATTCATTCTTTTATTCAAATTAAGACATATTCTGTAAGAATTTCATAGATTTCAAAAAAAATTATGTGGTTAAAATATTTTACTCAAGAATGAGCATACTATATCTTTAAATGTGTGCAAAAAGACTAGAAAAATTAATATTTAGTCAGAAAGCGCCTATATGTACATGAACTTAAAAAAAAATAAGAAGGCGTTCCTCTTTTTTTGGGGAAATAATAAAAATTTCTAATACAACATGGTTGTTTATAAAAACAAAACTATTTTTTAAAATTTTTGTATTTCAAAAAAACTACCCCGTCCAAAAACCAAATAATGGGTTTGCACCAGCATGGACCCCGAACAAATTGCGCACCCCGCAGTTTTTATCAGGATCCCTGTGATCGTTAAAACCCCATAAAATAGAGTGTGGAAAAGCATATTATCAGATGCGCGGTCCCCCGGGGGGGATTTTAAAACCCATTATGGGTTTTGTTGGGGGGCTCAAAAAGGTTTAAAAAATTTAAATAATGCTAAAACCATGGTTTCACTGTTTTAACAATAATAATCATTAAAGTCCAATTCAAAATAATACCAGTATATTAATACAAAAATAAACTGCTGTTTTAAACAATAATCAATAAATGTCTTAAAAAATAGTTCTTTCCACTGGACAGTTCACATTTTCTGTTATTGCAATATATGACATAGTAATGCACTTTTATAAAGTTGAATAATTGACAGAATATTGCAATATTTGATTAAACATTGAATAATTGACAGCATATTGCAATATTTGATCAAACATTGAATAATTGACACCATATTGCAATATTTGACTAAATATTGAATAATTGACAGCAAATTGCAATATTTGATTAAACATTGAATAACTGACAGAATATTGCAATATTTGATAGAATGCAGGTATATTGAAAGAATATTGGAACAAACATTAAATAATTGATAAAATGCTTCAATAATTGATCGACCATTGAATAATTAACAGAATATTGCAATATTCGATTAAACATTGAATAATTGACAGCATATTGCAATATTTGATTAAACATTGAATAATTGACAGAATATTGCAATATTCCATTAAACATTGAATAATTGACAGAATATTGCAATATTCGATTAAACATTGAATAATTGACAGAATATTGCAAAATTCGATTAAACATTGAATAATTGACATAATATTGCAATATTCAATTAAACATTGAATAATTGACAGCATATTGCAATATTTGATTAAACATTGAATAATTGACAGCATATTGCAATATTCGATTAAACATTGAATAATTGACAGAATATTGCAAAATTCGATTAAACATTGAATAATTGACAGAATATTGCAATATTCGATTAAACATTGAATAATTGACAGCATATTGCAATATTTGATTAAACATTAAATACTTGACAGGATATTGCAATATTTGATAAAGCATTAAATAATTGACAGGATATTGCAATATTTGATAAAGCATTAAATAATTGACAGGAAATTGCAATATTGAATTAAACATTGAATTATTGACAGCATTTTGCAATATTTACTGAAGTATTATTGATTGAAGTGAACATTTTGACTTTTATTTCAATGCATGACTGAAAATGCTTTTTTTTTTACTTAGTACTAATACAGCCTAGGCAACTGTCTTAGGTTCAACTATTACAACTAACCAATTCCTACCTTTAACCTTTTTGTGTAATAGTCTTGTATTTAAAATAAAAAAATATCATTGTCAATAATAGCAGCTACGTAATTCTTTCAAGTAAACAAAGAGCCCATGTTTAGGTTAAATAATAACAGTTTGTGACTTTAAAATTGGTCATGTCATATAACTGCAGAAAACTTCACTTGTTGAAGGGTGAAAGTGACTCTACTAAGGATATGGGTTATATTTTTATGAGATTTTTATGCCATTTCATCTGGCCCTAACATAACAAACACAATACTGTACACAATGCTTGGACAATGATGTTATAACATAATCATCAGGATGTACAGTTTGACATAGAAATCTACATGATGCTTAGGCCGTTTAAGTTGTTTTACCACATGACCAAAGAAAAGCATGTCATTTAAACTTATGATGGTAATTTGTTAAAAATGGAAACTTTCAAGGATGCCTGAAACTGAAAAAAAATATGTTGCAGGCTCAGTTTGACAGAGCCTGTTCATAGCTGGTACTGGCAAATACAAACTACTGTCCATGCCCCTAAGCACAAACTTAAGCAGAATTCAACATTTTTTACATGGAAATGGCAAAAATTTGAATCATTAACTGATGTATTCTGAATTTAGCATTGACTGAAACACAACCAATTCCCAATTTGGGAACTTAGTTTAAATCATACCCATCAAACTCCCTCATAACATCTCAGATACATTAATTTCGCAATTACAAAAATATAGTGCAAACTGTATAAATATCACTACTATCAAGGTTATGGTACAAATTCTGTCCTCTGTCTATTCATCATTGAATATGAGCACATTCCCCCTTATTTCCCTTTAAAGGCCCATTAAGCCTCAAAAATGATATTATTTTCTATTTTTCAAAACCATTTTATTTATTGTGCCATATCACAGTTTTCAAAAAGTTACTCTTAGGCCATATAACTAACCCATCTTTTTCTTGTTATATATTTTGGCATTCAGTGCAGTAATAGTGATTTTTGTTTGAAAATCAAAATACGGTGATTATACCACTTTGTTTATATTTCACATTAAATGAGCCGTGTCACGACAAAACCAACATAATGGGTTTGCAACCAGCATGGATCCAGACCAGCCTGCACATCCGCGCAGTCTGATCAGGATCCATGCTGTTCGCTATCTGTTTCTCGACTTGTAAAAGGGTTGGTAAGCGAACAGCATGGATCCTGATCAGACTGCGCGGATGCGCAGGCTGGTCTGGATCCATGCTGGTCGCAAAACCATTATGTTGGTTTTGTCATGACACGGCTCAAATACTATAACATTAAGTGCTACTTTCTTCTAGTGGTAATCAAGTATGTGTAACTTGCTCTTAACCAATTCAACAAACAGTTTAAAACAAATGTTTGTCCTATTTAAGGAAGGAAAAAAATGTCGTAATTTCTGAGGCTTTCTGTGCCTTTAATGAATCAATACATAGACTCATCATTCACTTAAGGTCACTCTAAACACAGTATCATCATATCCAATTATCCCCGTGTCATCCAGATGGCCGCAACACATTTGCACTTCATTCGTTGAAAAAGTCCAGGTGTCAACTTTCATTATTCTTTTACCTTTCAATATAAATATATCTTTCCCCATAGTCAAAAAGAAAAAAATTCTCATGGATTCGCAAAACAAGATTTTTCCAGGTATTAGCAATCCATATCACATTATTGTTTTTATCTAAAATTATGCACAGATCCCGTCAATAGTGAGTGCTCAAAGTTCATTCTTGATGATCCCTTTCATCTTGCTCCCCTGCCCTCTGACCTTCACCCCAGTCAAACCCTCCAGGGCGCTCCTCTGGTAACGGGTTATAGTTCGGATCATCTTCTCTAGCATCAAATATTGTTTTTCTGAAATGAAGAGAAAAGAAATTATCATTTGAGATGTTTCCCTAAAAACAATGTGAAACAACTTTGAAATATATCAGCAATGTATTAGAATTTAGATTGTGCAACAGTTAGTTTCCTTATCAACAAAAAGTTATCAGACAATTCAAATTTTAAACTAAGGGAGACAATTCAAGTATAAACTATATATGTTGTGTACAAGTTACTTCCCTTATTTACCTCTCTCTTGTATGATATCATAAATATTCATCATTAAAACATGTCCATTTAACTATAAACGGAATTCAATCAATGTTTTATGTATTATAGTTAAATAGTCTAAAATGGAAATTCTGTAGTACCATTTATAATTTAAATATGAACATACATGTATAATATTATCATTCATCCTATAAATGTCATATTAAAACACTTATAACTATATCAACATTTCTTTCTCATAAAAATATCCAAATGATACATTTATGTTGGTTTTTTTTATCATTATTAGAAAATGTGCCAATTGTAGACCAATCCACTTAATACTATTTAAGTTTTCAACCAGCAATGCATAGGATAGCCTTTTAAATGATTGCATTCCTATACAATAACCTCTTTTATATTTCCTTTTGTGACACAATTAATATAAAACTTACAAAAATCCTGGAGTTCTTAAAATCTTGAAACCACCAGGTTGTTGTGGAAAAATATCTTCCAAAAAGAAATATATATGTCCTACTGCAATACCTGTAAATAATAAATACATCTATGTTAACTTTTACTAATAAAATAAATTATGATACCAGTATTTATAAATATTCTAAAGAATATAATGCCCATTGCGCCACAATTTTTTTTACCGCTTTTACACTTCATAATGAAAAGTTTGATTGTTTGATTGGGTTTTACGTCACACCGACACAGTATTGGTCATTTGGCAACATTACAGCTTTACTGGTGGAGGAAGACCTCAGGTGCCCTTCCTTGCATTATTTCAGGCATGAACAGGCACCTAAGTACAACCACTGACGTTCCGTAAGCAGAATCCAAAGTCCCTGTCGGGATTCGAACCCACAGCAGTGAGGGGCAAATGGTTTGAAGTCAGCAACCTTAACCACTTGGCCACGGAATGAAAAGATATTCACTGTAAGGATAATGATAGAGGTATGACGGCAAAATTTTGTATGTGCTTTGGAAACACATTTACTTTAATATCGTCAAATGACATTTTATGACATTTTTGCTCTCCAAGTACTGAAATAACTAAAGCTTGTTTACAAAAAATATAAAGAAAAAAAAAAAAAAAAAAAACAATTTTTATAGTTCCCGAATCTATAATTTGCTTGGTGTTTTAAAGGACTGGCATATATTTTTCTTTAAAGATCAGTAAAAATATATATAAATCAAACCACACATGCTGACTGAAATAGGTGAGATATCGACCCATTCTGGTAATATTTTAACATATACTTATTATATATATATTATATACAAATGTATAATTTATTTCACAAACACTGGGTCAATTTCAAAATTCCATTACAACTTTTATGATTAAAATGATGATAACTTAAATAAGTAGGAAACATTTTAATGGCATTTCTTTTATATACATGTAATACTTAACCAAAATTATGATATTGTACAGTATCAAATTGTAATTATTTCTTAAAAAGTAAATCATGTCAGTATTTTGCTGAAATTCTAATAACGAAATTCTAATAAATTTCTGTTACACTAACAGTAGAGACCACCTCATTCCAAACTAGGACGCAGACTCTTAATTTTCATCAACAACTGTTTACTCAATTATTAACTTATTCATAAACATGGCACAGGCAGGCTACATTTAACAATTAAAACACAAATAAAGATCACTTACCCATTAAATCCACTATAACAGAATTTCCCAGTAATAATGAGAATCCCAAAAGCACCCAAGGTAAGTATGGAGCTTGGAAATTCATTAGTCCAAAAAAGTTCATCCTTACATAAGGATTACGTCGACTCCACACATAAACTAACATAATTGTAAATGCACTACCTAAAAACACTAGATTTACAAAAAGAGCAACAATCTGAAGTTATGTTAAGGAAGCATTTGTTTAACAGACAGACAGACAGAGAGTTTTAAGTACTGATACCGGTATTTAGTGTTTTTTGTCATACTGTTTCAAAGACATTTTGTGACATTTAGAGGTGAGTACAAAACATCTCTGGAATGTCATTTGTGACAAGGTAATGCTGCCACACCATTTCTAGCAACATGATAATTTTAGCATGTTATTTGTTTCTAGCATGTCCATTCTGGCATTCATTTCAGAATTTTCTAGCATATCATATCTGGCATGATATAACTATCATATCATTCTAGCATGACATTTCTAGCATAAGTTGACATGTCTGGTATGTCATTTCTAACACATCATTTTAGTCATGACATTACTGTCATATCAATTCTGGTATGTCATTCCTAGCATACTATATCTGGCAAGACATTTCTAGCATATTGATTTAGCATGACATTACTTTCATGTTATTTCCAGCATATCTTTTTTGGCCAAGACATTTTTAACAGGACATTTCTGACATGTCATTTCTTACATTACATTACTATCATGTAATTCCTAGCACATCATTTCTAGCATGTCATTTCTGGTATAACATTTCTAGCATGTCATTTGATTTCTAGCAAGACATTGTCTGACCATCATTTATGGCATGTCATTTCTTGTATATCATTTCTAGCATGCCATGCTTGTACAGAATTAAAATCTTACAATAGAAAGGATACAATCATTAATGATCCACCAAATATAAACATGAAGAAAAAATCCGCTGTCTTCCCTCGAAATGAGCCCTCCTCTAACATACGACAATATCGATATGTGAAAATCAGATTGAATAGAAAGTTAAAACCAATTGGTCCAAAATACATAAAGTTCGTAAAAAGCCGCCATACCTACAACAGAAAGAATATGTGCTTTCATTCATGTCACATTGTTTTTGCTGAAAAATGAACTTTACCAATTCTGTAACATATCTACGGTAGTATGTATAACATTGTAAAATTTTAAAATTTATTGTTTTAAGAAAAGGAATTAATATTCTTAATTCATGTGAAACTTTGAAGGTATTAAATTTGAAAAGTTTAAGTATGACAAAAGTTATTTTTTATCACCAAAACTCTACTAGCAGGCTGTCAACCAGGTCTTATCCGAAATAAAGGAAGAATATAGGAATGTTTTAGCAGGAAATATAGGAGTTTTTGGACCATTTTGAGGCAAAAAAATAGGAGTTTTCAACTTAAATTGTTTAACTTACCAATGCTTATATAAATGTAAATTATTCTTACTTTTACACATGCTGTTTCTACAATAAAATGTCTACCGTATAAGTGAAGGAAACCATTAGCAGGCTGTCCAGCACCTTCCGACATAAACTTAGGGCAAATTTTACGGTAATATTTCAGAAATTTTAGGGCTAAAATTAGGAAATTTAGGATACGTAATAGAAATTTTAGGGCTAAAATTTGCAATTTTATGACTAAATAAACTAAGGTCCCAAAAGACCATGATGTGGGCTAACCTTTGCATATTTGACACAAAAGTAACTCACAAATAATGCTATAGTTTAGTAATAGAGCAAAGGTTCTACCAGTGTGGACTCACTTGTCAACTGCCTCCCCTGCGGAAATGGTCAGTCAAATCATGTTCAAACCATATTTTTTAAAATGGCTGAACATGTCAAAAAGAACATGTTCTACCTATGTTTTGGGAATGTTATAACCACAAGTGTCTAAAAGGAATTCTTATTAGTGAAATTCTTGCACAATGCAGCTTTTGATAATTATTATGGACAAATGAATTTTTTTGTAAAAGTAGGTAAAAACTAAAAAGTAAAAAGGCATTTGCCTTATAGGCCAGTCATAATAGAAATTAAGGTAAAACTAATTCCTTCACAAGTGTTTTCACGATTAAATAAAAGATAAACATTATCTACATTTTGAGAAAAAAGTCCTCAAAAAATCTCCTTGTAGAATCCTGAAAAATCGATCATAAAGATTTAGTAAAAATCGATATTTAAATGTGTCTCTTAAATTACACCATACTTTAATTTTATGCACGTTCGGTGACGTCACGTTTATTATATTTTCGTTGAAAGATCTGAAGTTAATTCAATTCCAGCATTCCTAGTGCAAGGGTGAGTAATTTTAGTTTTTTTTATATTCTTCTGTATAAATTAGGGAAAAATATGTCAGTAGATAGATTTAATTGACCACCAATTAATCGATTATGCAGATGACAAAATGTGTCATATAATTTCGCGATTTTAAACTCAATTTTGAATGAAGTAATCCTTAAAAAAGAGTTTATCTTTTACTCACTGTTCTACATTGCTTCCTTTTGTACAATTGTCTAAAATGACACAGAATTAACCACACATCTTACTGAGTATTTAAAAAAAATGTGTATGCACAAGTTATGTAATTTTTTCTTTCTACGGAAGCGTGTTGTGACCAAAATCACGAAAATCTAGGGATATTTTTAAAATGTTAAATTTGACTTATTTCAAAGAGTTGGCATGTTTTTTGAATTGTGGAAATCATAATTAAAACAAATAATATGTTAACTTGATGTAAACAAACGTATTTTGTAATACATTTTAATGCATTTTTAAGCGAAATGATAATATTCAAGCATGTTATATGTTATATTACACCCAATAGGGTGTAATCAAGCTAAAACTATTACCTATTAATGAGGAAGTTGTTACTGGAACTTTATACATTATTTTTACTTCTTAACAGAAGACATGGATTTAAAACCCAAATTATTATGCCAATTATTTTATTTTTTTGTAGGCTCAATCATATCATATGCATCTGAGAGTATGGGGTTATAGCAAATCAAAAGATAATTGAGCGTATTCACTTGAAATATTGTGAAATAATTTTAAATGTTAGAGCCAATACAAGCAATGTTCGTATATACGGCGAACTCGGTCGTTTCCCATTGTATATAAATTGATACGTAAGAATATTTTAATTAAATTTTACGGATGACATATGAATTAAGTTTATCTGATTGTTATAAATGGAAAAAAATGGGTATCAAATGTTAAAGAAATGCTAGATATGTATGGTTTATCCGAATACTTTTTTGAAAATAATATCGTAGATAGTAAATTATTTCCAAAAATATTTAAACAAAGAGTTATTGATAATCATATACAAATATGGCATTCATCTGTTGAAAATGATTTTGTTTTACAACTTTGTGTAGCTTGATAATCTACCCTCATGATACCAGTGGCAGTTGTATGTATATTTATAGTAATGTTTTCCATGTTGTTGTCAGCAATCATAGAACAGTTGTTGTATTGTTGTATATTTAGTTAGAAGATGGATAGACACATGACTTCTACACAAGGGGTAATGGGATGCGAGAGAAAAATGGCTTTTTACGTAGATATATCTAATTGAATGTGTCTTTCAGGTTTGTTAATACAACAGAAATTGATATATCAACACAAATTTACATCATTGTTTTACAGCATGATTATAATTAATGCACATACAAAAGAGTTTGCTCATACCAACATTTTCTCAGGCGTTTCCCTGTTATATCATATTATATCATTTCAATACTATTTCTTTTTAATATCTTTTTGATAATGATTTATGGACTTTATATATCTTATTTTCAGAGGAAGGGCTAAACATAGTATGGGATGGTTGATTGCAGAAGACAATATTTAGCGAGAGTCCAGCCTTTTATATTTTGGCGAACATAAATCAATACGTTGATTGGATGTGGCAAGAATTTTCCATATATCCAAGTTAGGAGAGGCTAAATGAGTTATGTTTGAAAAGATCCAGCATTTTTGAAAAGCAATTTACAGGTAAATCAAAGAAAAACCCTCTATATCTTTAATACACAGTTGGTGTACCAGATTCAATTTTGTGTGCTACTGCATATATAACTTTTCTAAAGGGAATTCAGTTTTCTTACATTCTCGGAATTACTAAGATCAGAGATTTGTTTGTTTGTTTTTATGTCACATCAACACTTTACAGGTCATACAATAACTTTCAAGCTTTACTGGTGAAGGAAAAAGTGTGACATAGGTATTATTTTTAGCGCATAGAACCACCAATATTCTATAAGTCAGTTTGGGATAGCTATGTCAGATAATAGATTCCAAAACCCTGGCAGGACTCGAACATACATCCTACATCGTTAACACCGTAAGAAGCAAGTGTTTTGAAGTCAGTGACCTTAAACACTCGACCAAAACTTCCAATTTAGTTATCTGTATGAAAGTATAGGTGCCGGTTTGTTCAGTATTTCCTAATTATATGGCACATTATGCTGTTTCACAGTCGGCGCTTCTTTCAGCCGATAGGCAATTTACACGCTTTAAATTTGTTATAACAATATAACATGAAACCTATTTTCTGAAGAAGAAAGCTGAGGCACGTTTTTGCTGAGGCTAAACGTGCCTCATTAATGTATGAATTATTTGTAGATAATTCAATATAAAAATATAAATCTAAAAGCACAATCCTATCTCGCTTCTCGCTTTTCATAGTACCTACATTTTCAGTTTGACATACAATTGTTTTATTTTAAAAGCAGAATGCAAAGTTCGCATTTTTATTTATCATACTATGTTGTAACATTTATTTTACAGATGCGAAACAATGTGTCTCTGTGAAAAGGGTATAGGCTAAAGGTTTCAACAGCACCGGCCGAAAAGTGGAGAATTGAACAAGGGCAGGGCAATATGTATATATACATGTGTAGCGTTGTCAGACTATATGGATAGTCGGGCCTCGTGACACAAATGATGAAATAACATTGTGTTTTTTCAGTGTCTTAACATTCAGAAGATTCATTTTATTTTAAAATGTCTTTTTTCAATAAATTTTTTTACAAAACTTCCATGGTAAAGTAAGTGCAATTTAGCATTGGTAAGATATTTACTTGAAGGATTGATTTTCAGAACAGAAATGCAAATACAATGTATATAAATAATAATTATTCGTGTAAAATGTATTGCAATTTTGAATTATAATATGAATTTAGATAGATTCATACAACTTTATTCTTGGTAGAGCTAACTTGTAAGAATATTTAATGGAATCTGACTAAAAGTAAAAAAAAAATTTTATCATTAGTGGGTGGGGTAATGTTTTATACCAGTCTAAATGATGATGTATAGATTATGCAGTGTTGCGACTTTTTGAATGTAATCAACATTGGTTGAAGTGTTTTTGATTAAATAAAGCATGTTTGTGTATTAATGTGTTACTTTGTTAATGACCATATTTCCGTAGAATATCTGGGTTATTTAATTTCACAGATTTTTCTAATTGAAAACACATGATTTCAAAACATGACATTTTTAGCATTTTATACTTCGAATTTTTTTGAGGACTTTTTTTCTGTAGCAACACATATATAGTAGATAACAAATATGCAAATATCTTTTCTGAAGGAATTTGTTTGAGGTTGGGTCTTATTTTTGGCTAAAATGCCTAGCCTATTAGTACAGTCATTTGAATAAATGGGAAGCATCTATAATCAACACAAAGAATTGCACATCAAAAAAGTTCATCACACAGACCATTCAATTGCAGTTTATCTAGATCACATAATTGCAAAATGTGTGTACATTGTAATTGGAAATGAGCTTTATATTACTGAACTGCCAAATTATTTTGAGTGTGATTAATTATATGAGTCTGCCTTTTCCTAAATTGCACCATATGAATGAAAGAACAAGAACTGAATGAAATTGATAACTTTGTGGCAAAATAAGCAATTTCTCCTACAAAGATATGAAAAGGATAAATAAGTATGAGGGAAAGAATTAATTTTTCAAAGGATATGTTAACCCATTCAGTACTTTACAATGTTGTTTTGATATTATGCAGATTTCAAATAAAAGAGATTGTACATAAATTTTTGACAACTATTTATAAATGTTTTTAATTAAGAATGTGTTACAACAGCTTCATAATGATCATTTTCAAATATGATATGATACAAATGGACCACTTCAGAAATTTGGATAAAATGAACAAACATAAAATTCAAGATATCTGGAGTTGGCAAAACAGTGTCAAAATATTCCAGAATAAGTGGACTCTTATGGTTATGATTTAATTTCAGGACAATGATATGGTAGTGTTTTTGCTGTTAACTGTCAACATGATTATTAATGACAGATTATAAACAACTGCTTTGATTATGAAAAAGCAATGTTACTGACATAGTCAAAGTAGCTTTTAGTTGAAACGAAACCATTTCAATGTCATCAATTTTGTGTTGGCAAGTCATGGCCAAATCATTTTTTACCATGTTTAAAACATGGTCGACTTTGAGTTATGTTTACAGGGTTACAAGTTATAAGTATGTTTATGACAAAAGATAAAAATAATTAGGAATTTCAGTGAAAAAATAGGGCATTTTTAGGAATTCCCTTCAAATTTTTCACTTTTTTAGGAATTTTAGGGATGCTGGACAGCCTGCATTAGCTTTGAACCACAGCATCAGCAGAAAGTGACAGCAATGCATGACCATCATCTGAATGGTCACCTAAAATAAAGTTGACATACTGATGCACTGCTTTTCATGGTGACCATGCAGATGGCTATGTGGAGCCCAGCAGCCTTGAGCATAGTAATGTGATGCTGATGCAGCCATACACATTCTCTTACCTGTAAAATACAAAAGGCCAAAAGCAGTACCAAAATTTAAATCTCTTTGAATTCCTCGGCAATATATTTTTTTAAAAATATAGGAAAAATATTCAAAATATAGGAGAATATAGGAAAAATAGGAGGTTTTTTAAAATATAGGATTCCGACCCAAAATATAGGAGTTTTATAGGAATATAGGAATTGGTTGACAGCCTGTACTAGATTTGATGATTAGATCCTATAAAATTTTACAATTTTTAAGTGATTTTTGTTAATAGGTAAGTGGCTTAGACTAGATTAAATCACATGATTTGTAAACTTCGCAACTTTTTACTCCACAGAATATTTTTCTAAGATTTCATTAAAATTAACACAAGTTTGGAAGTGTGTTGCTTTAAATCAAACTATATGAAGAAAATGCATCATTTTATACACATTGCATCAAAAAAGGAGAGGTCAAGTTTATGGCCTCTAGCTTTCAAGTTTCACTGGATGAGGAGACCTCAGGTCTGAGGTGCCCCTCCATGCATTATTTAAGGCACAAAACAGGGTCCTCAGTAGAACCATTGACATTCTGTAGGCAAGCTTGTTAGCTTTCTGACATTAAAAGAATCCAAAGACCCTGATGGAATTCAAACCCACAGCAGTCAGGGGCAAGTTATTTGAAATCAACGACTAACCACTCGCCCACTGACGCCCTGGCTTGAGAAGACATGCAGTCTTACTAATGCTTGCAATGCACATTCCTATGTCTTGACAGTAAACAGAGCTACAATGTTTTGACCCATTAGTTCCACTACTCCAGCAAGCTAAGATTTAAAAACGGTTTCTCACCTGATAATTTTTGAATATAAGATCAGGGTTAAAGTAGATCTGAAAAGGTGTAATCACATCCAGTTGCTGAAAAACAGAAATAAAACAAGAGATAAATTAAATATTACACTACAAACTATAAAAATGTTGTCTACAATAAAAGTAACAAAAATTAAGTTGATTTAATAAAAACAACATATTATAAATTCAATGACAAGTGCAGTACATATACAACATGTGAAAGTCAGTGAATGAAAATGAAAATAACAGCAAAATTGATAAAACTTTACCACAGCCAACGTTGTCAAGACACACGCAGTTGTGTATGTCCGTGTCATAGGTGGCATCTGCATATATTCTTGTTGAAACGTTTGAGCCATTTTTCTGGTGATTGTACTTCAAATTATAATAAATGATTACACTAACTTTGTCGTTTTTTATTTTGTTTTTACCGGAAGTTTTCAATGCCACGTCGAAATACGCATGCGTCATGAAATTAAGAGAAAAGGTTGAACACGACCAAATATCAAAAGTAAACAATTTCGAGTGAATTCCGTCCTGTAGTCAACTAGGCCCCAAACTCGTCCCCTATTTATCATTATTGAATTATTTTAACATTTGATACATTATCAGAGAGTTTAACATATGTCTTAAAAAAACTTGCAAGAGATTGATTGAAACTGACACAAAATTTTTGGGGTAATAGGACATTTCGGACCATGGACGTTTCGGACCAGACATTTCGGACCAGATTTTGGGACACTTCGGACCATATTTAGGGACATTTCGGACCAGATTTTTGGACATTTCGGACCATGTGTTGGACATTTCGGATCATGCGTTAGACACTTCGGACCATTGTTTTGGACATTTCGGACCATGTGTTGGACATATGGGATCATGTGTTAGACACTTCGGACCATTATTTTGGACTTTTCGGACCAGAATATTTTTTTTTTATATGTTATGCATCAATTATTCTATGAACAAAAGTGTAACTTTAGAATATATGAGACACCATGGAACGATTTTACACCTATCCAGATTTAGATTTAATATATTTTTCGCTATAAATGAAGAAAATTTAAAAAGAAAAAACAAAACAATGTTTTAATGACACGTTTGCAAAAAAATATTATAAAGTATATACATGAATGAACATGACAAAATTTCAAAAAATCAATTTGGTTTTCAGAAAGGGAAGTCAATTATTGATTGCATATATTTATTTTACATTCTATAATTGCTAAAGTCATTAATTCGGGGAAGAAATTATACTGCATCTTTATTGATTACCAACAGTGTTTTGATAAGATTGAAAGATCATTTCTATGGCAAAAACTCATTTCAGAAAACGTAAGTCTCAAATTAGTGAACGCTATAAAATCTATGTACAAGACTGTTAAATCATGTGTAAGGTATAAAACTTCATATTCAGAATATTAGCTCAAATATAGGCCTAAAACAGGGAGACCCCAGTTCATCTCTCTTTTATGCTGTTCGTCAAACGACATAACACAATATATTAATTTCAGACCTTGATGGGATTTTCACTTTAAACGAGCTTAAACTGTTTCTACTTCTATATGCGACGACCAGGCACTATTTTCTTCTTCGCCAGTTTCCTTACAGTTAATGTTAAACGATGTCGTTAATTATTGTAATATTTGGGATTAAAGATTAATTACTTCTAAAACAAAAGCTATGATTTTTGAAACGTGGCAGACATACGACATTTGATTTTTACATTGACAACACTCTAATTGAAATAGTTCCCTCTTTTAAATATATAGGAATAACTTTGTTTAAAAATGGTAACTGGTTTCGTACCCAAAAAAGTATTTCGCAACATGCTTCATTTTCTTTATTTAATTTATTTAAAATACTTAATTACGCCGAATTTTCAATGTCCCAAAAGCTTTCGTTATTTGATACTCTTGTCGGTTCCGTTCTTAACTTTGGTTCACAAATATCGGGCAGTCATAAAGCACCAGATATCGAAGCTGTACATACAAAATTTTTTTACGACGGGTTCTTTGCGTCAAAAAGTCAACCAATTTATGTGCACTATATGGTGAAACTGGACGATTACCGATGGAATGTAATAGAAAAATAAATATGCTTAAGTATTGGGTACACATTTCTCTCAAAATTGGGCAACTCAAATCAAAATGATATTAGATAGTCACGGTTTCAGTTATATTTGGCATTGTCAGTTTGATATAGACATTCCGTTTGAAGAGATTAAGTTAAGAGTTATTGATACTTACAAACAAAATTGGTACTGTGAAATAAATAATTCTAGTCGCTTACATTTTTATTCAATATACAAACACGATTTTATGTTGAAGAAATATTTTTCAGATGTTTGTGAACAAAAATTTAGAATAGCTTTAACTAAATACAGAATATCAGCACATAATTTACGTATTGAAAACTGGAAAGATATGACGACACACCCAGGCAAAATCGACTATGTACCTTTTGCAATTCTAATCAAATTGAGGACGAATATCATTTCTTGTTGGTCTGCCTTTACTATAGAGATATAAGAATAAAATATTTGCCAAGTTATTATTGCCATTGGCCAACATCACAAAGTTTGAAAGTATCTTATCATCTAATTCTAGAAATGACTCAAAATTTATCAAGATATTTATACTTTGCCCTTTAAAAGAAGAGGTAATTAACATTTTTCTCTTAATTTATGTAGTAATCTTTGTTTTTCATCACAAAAAAAAAATCAAATAAAGATTTATATTTTTGTCATATAACAAATATCCAAATATCCCTCCGCTAACATAGATTTCATAACATTTTGTTTTGCATATTGTTGCTAATAACTATGTTACCTGTCTATTATTATGCTAGAAACGTTGTTATAATGTTTAAAGCAAATAAACTGTATTGTATTGTATTGTATATACAAAAAGACATTTTTATATTGCAGTCTGGACATCATTTTTTTACAATTATAATCAGTTTGTTTATTGTTCTTTAATCGCATTCCAATCAAATCCAATCAATTTAAATATTTGTTGTCAAAGTAGGTGAAAATTGCATACATATGCTTCTTTAATTGAGTGAAACGTAACTTAAACGAGTTCTATTCAGCAATTAAAACGTGTGAAAAACTGAATCGACAAGAATGTCGTTGTTCTTTAATACCTGCTAGAACACGATTTAATTTGGTTTAAATTGACTTTAAATAGGTATATTCTGCGTGTGTATGTGTGTGTGCACTTATTTTACATATTATCAAATAGTTGATTAAACAGGTTCGTATATCAATTTCAATTCTTTTAGATAGATTAAACACAGCGTATCATTATCTCTATATTTTGTATGAAGGACATTCGCATAAATATATCCTACGCTTACCAATATAGTTCTAAAGGTATTCTATTATTGTTTTAAAAAAAAATTCAATATTCAGAAATTGTCGATTGGTAATATAAGCTTGTCAGAAAATGTGAAAATCTCGTCGGACACGTCATAATCGCATGCATTTTGAATACCATAAAATATAACAATGTCAAATATTTGTTGCATTTATTATTAGAAAATATATTAACTACATCCTGAAATAACAAATAATAACATATAAAAAGGAATATATGTGCTGGTCCGAAGTGTCTCCATCATGGTCCGAAATGACCATCACATGGTCCGAAATGTCCCAAAATCTGGTCCGAAACGACCAAAAAATCTGGTCCGAAGTGTCTGGTCCGAAACGTCCGTGGTCCGAAATGTCCGTAATTCCTACTCCTCGTAGGGGCGGTGGAGTGCATGTTTATGCTTGTTAAGATCAAAGTGAACAACCAAACCTTAACACCGATTGTGAAATAATTTGGATAAAATAGCTGCCGGTCCTGACAACATATGACCAATTGTCCTGAAGGAGCTGAGAGCAGAGATTGTTGACATAATCTCAGTTCTCTTTCAAAAATCCCTGACCACCGGTAATATTCCCTATGACTGGACTAATGCAAAAGTATCCATGCCCTGTATACAAAAAATATACTGAAATCTAGACTTCGTCAAACAATGTAGTCGTTCTGTAATAGTACGAATGAAAGCAATAATATTTAGAGAAATGACACTGTGATGCCAACTCTCCTAGAGAAAACAACATATATCGCCAGCAAAATCAAATTGTAAGTTACCAAGATAATAAGGATATCAATACTGTAGAGATTGAACATGAAGGAACTTTTTCTGAAGCTACACAAACGGAATAATCCAGGAGTAGAAAACAATTGAAAAGTGTAAGTAAATGGTAATATAATATTAGAAAGAGAAAGTGCTCTGGTGAAAAGCATATTAATTATTCAGGTAATATACGTAGAAAGCATGAAGTGCTAACGATGAAATTAAGATTGCATGGGAAATTGTAGATTAACTGCAGCCATTATTTTTCGAATACATATAGAAAGCTAGGGTTTTTTTGACGACTTCTGGAAATCAGATAAAATCAGATAAAAACAATTTTATTTTACTACTACAGAAAGATCACTAAAGGTTTCAAAAAGGCTATCATATGCACATGCTTCGCGGAAGACCTTTACATATAGACATTACAATATCTATTTACAGCATACTATCAAATTAAAACGAAAGTGCGCATAGAGCTTTATCTTACAACACTTGATATCATCCACGGGCGCCTTTTCATTATGCTGTAATGAAAGGAATGTAATTACCAAAAACGATAAAGTTAAAAAACTAAGATATAAGTCCCTGGTCCGGCCACAGTTGAATTTGCATCAACTATATTTGGTCTCCGTACACTAAAACCAATATTGACAAAATTGAGATGGTCCAGAAATGTGCTATACGATGGGTAAAAGGGATTACTCCCCTCTCTCCAGTGTCACAGCCATGCTGGAAGAACTGGGCTGACAATCCCCTGTATGAACATCACAGATTGGAATGTAGACTCATCATGTTTTTTAAGATATACCATAGCATAGTTGCAATTAATCTCCGATCTTATGTCAAAGCCCACAAAGATTGACAAGACATATGCAGCCTCAATCCCTAGTTTTAACTACAACGGCTGATTAATGTGCTACTAGGCTTGATATCATTATATCTTCATAATCTTGTTAATATTGACACGGATTTATTGAACACATTTTTTCTTGAATATGAAAAGTTAATGAAGAAAACGAAGTGCTTAATAATAATAATAATAATAATAATAATAATAATAAAAATAATGGGCCGAGTAGACCAACTTGGGGCCGGACTTGTACGGTTCAATATTGTCCCCCCCCCCGCCGTTTGCTATTTTCACAAATGTTTATTCTTATGCGCACAGGAAGTTTGCACCGTAAACAATTGCAGAAATTTCGAACTAAATATTGAACATTTATCGTGTAAAAGTCTAAATAGATTTCAATATCATGTATGCTGATCCAGATTTTGATGATCTAGATAGTAATGAGTTCACTGACAAAGATTGTTCCGATGAAGGTATACGAACCTAAAATTTCTGTCAGAATTTCTGTGGGTGGGGTATGCCAAATTATAATTGACGGCTATATAATTTAATATGAAATTAGGCAAAGCCTATGAACGGGGAAGTCGTTAAAAAATCCTTTCATTCTTTCGTTTATGCAGAAAATATGAAAATATCTCTATTTCTTATGGCAGATCAATGCAACGACGACTGTTTTAATTTTACAGATTTTTATTATAAATAACTTTTTTGGAAAAATTTGCGATAGATAGATCTAGTACTGAAACATTGATAATTTTCAAACACCTCAAGTTTTTCCATAAACGATAAAATAATTATAGAAAAATGGAAATATCACATAATAGTGATATGTACTTCATTGCCAATGGGTGTATTTCCCCAGAGCTAAATTCGTAACCTACCTGAAAATGGGTGAGAGTGGTTTCGTCGAACTACCGGTTCGGCGAACTGATTTTATATAATAAAACAGGTAGTGGTTTCGGCAAACCTAATTTATATAGTGCGAACAATATCTATTGTATAATCAATTATCACAGGTCTTAATGTGTCGTTTATCACACGTTTTCATGCAATAAAAGACAAGATATTGAAAATTTAACCTATTTTTTATTCTATTCTTCAGTATAATAGTAATATTTACATAAAATAATAACACAATACAAAAGCTCTCAGTGAACAAACAACATCATAGAAATATATATACGTACAACCCGAAAAACTAATAATGAGTCAAAATTTACACAAATTACATTTCACACATTAAGTTAAGTCTGTAAAATATGGAAACAATATTTTTATTATCTATGTCAAATATATACACAAATAGTAAGAGCTGAAAAAAAGAAGAAACAATGTTTTTAATCAGAATAAAATTGTTATGTAATAGATATACCATTGCTGCGTTGACGATTTCTGGGTTTGCGTAAATTATACCATAATCACGTGACCTTTCTTATGCCTTAACCTCACGAGACGAAGTCGAGTGAGGTTGCATAAGAAAGGTCACGTGATTATGGTATAATTTACTCAAACCCAGAAATCGTCAACGCACCAATGGTGTATCTGTTTTAACCTGTAGCTCCGCCCAGAAACACTTACTCCTTGGATCTTCAAAACTGAAAATTATACCATAGTCTGGGTATGGTATAATTTACGGTTATTGGAAATTATACTTGGAAGAATTTTACATAAGAAGCGCTGAAGAGCTATAGGTTAAAATATATATACAAAGAAAAAATAAAACATGTAAGAGAAAGAATTAACAATGTATTTTATAATCTAAATATATACACACACAAAAAATCCATGTACGTAATAAACTATTATACATATTACAAATACTTTATTCCTCTATATAAACAATTGACACATGCATATTATTACAGAGAATACATCATGATTTCTATGTAATAAACAACAACAATCTGTTTTTTAGTCTTTATTCACCACTCTATAGATTAGATATAAAACTTTGATTTAAACGTTTCTATTATAACAAAATATTGATGATAAAAACTTTATATATATGAACCATGTCTACATTGCCTTAAATTACTATATAACATAAGGTCAATGAAACCACTTTCGGACCTCTTCATAAATTAAGTTTGCTGAACCGGTAGTTCGACGAAACCACCATAATTCCCTGAAAACTGTGTTAAGCTAGGTTTTCGAAAAGGTCAGTAGATCTATAAATATCGATATATAGTTTCTAGTTTCTCCTGCATTTGCGCCTTTTGCTGTTTTCATGACATTAATTAAAGTTGCAACGTACTCTTGTGCTCTTTTTATAAAATAAGACTTAAATATAAATAGGAAAAGTCTGAATACTATTGTTATGTTAACATAATTGGTCCCATTCTCGTCAATTAAATGTTCAAATAACATTAAATTTTCATTGTTATTGACAATGAATTGTTATTTGACAATACATTGTTATTGACAATGACAATTGACCTAACCTCAAAATCATTGCATTAACAAGTAGGTTTTTAATGTTTCTCAACAGAAATAATGTGGAACTCATCAAAAATGGAACTTTTCTTGTTTTGTTAAAACATTTTGTCTTTTATCATAAGAAATCTTTTACTGGAGGTAATATATTGGTTTTAATTAATTTTTTTTTAAGGCAACTTGTTCATTTTTTTAGTTATTCCTATCATTTTAAAAACTTTCAGTGGAGACAATTCAATGCATGCAAATTTGCACAATTTCTTTAATAGTGTTTTATCATTTTCCAAATGGTAGAAATAGGCTGCTATGAGAATTTTTGATTTCTGTTTCTATTTTTAGACACTGAGGATGCCAGCGAAACAGACGTGGCTAAACAGGAAACCCAATATACAGAAATTAAAGAACAGTAAGTTGGTGTGGTGTACAATGTAAAATATTCTGGCCTAAAACATATGGTGGTAAATCATAACATATAAATTGTTTGTAACTGTAGACAATATGTATATAAAAAGATAAATAATGTTGCATATGAGAAAGTTCTGATTGTACCCATGTACAAACAATACAGATATTCGAAAATGTTAACACATTTAAGTCAGAACCGATTCAAAGCTCATACTGTACTTGTCTTATTACTAGCTTGATTGTGTTGTAACAGGACTTCCATTAGTGGAAGTTTTGGCGTCATTGATCCTTGATTTTGGCTTTTGACATCCATTGAAAATGCAATGCTTTTCCATTTTTACCAATAGATGTAATATGACTTCCCAGTGTTTTTTTTCCTCTACTTTGGGAATGGTGCCGGTACCAGACTGATTGGGAGAAATGCGTTATTTTGACTTTAATTGGGAATTTTTTTAAGCATTTTTTTCAGCTATAAATAAGATTAGTCATCATGAATATAGATAGCTAACAGCTTTCACTGTCCAGGGAGAACTATTGAGTGGTGATTTATATGAATATGTTGGATTTAAATGATTTCAGAGAAATCACTTGGCCTTGTAGTTATTCTGAACAGCCATTTTGGGAGGTTAAACATTGGAAATTGGGAATTTTAATGTTTATTTTCTATTGGGAACAGTACCGTTTTAGGGTAGTAGTTATATAAAAAAAAAAACACTGCTTCCAATAAGATTTGGCAGTCTCTTGCTTACACATTTAGGAAGTTATATCTTGTCATTTGATACATTTGAAAAAACAACCTTCATTTACAAAATGTTGAGCGATGCCATGACAAAAGCAACATAGTGTCAGTGTTTGCAACCAGCATGAATACAGACCAGCCTGAGCATCCATGCAGTCTGATTGGGATCCGTGCTGTTCGCTATCAGTATCTCCACTTGTAATAGGGTTTGTAAGCAAACAGTATGGATCCATGCTGGTTGCAAACGCACTATGTTGGTTTTGTCATGGCGCAGCTAAAATTTTACTTATTATTAGATTACTTACATTGTATGTATATATACATTGTGTTTACTCTGTTCGAAGTCTGTAGCAATATAGATGTGTTACTTTTTTAATGAAAAAAAATATCCATAAAAATTTTCTCCACCAATTTCTTGCATTGATCCCATTCATCACCTGGTGTAATATCATATACTTTTGGCAAAAGTGCTAGAGGCCGTTAAGGCACCAAGAAAGATAACTCTTTAAGTAATATTCCTTACAGGTAATTGTGTTACTTCCCTTTACTTGTTATTTAAGTTACGTTTGTAAGTGCCTGTCTGATTTAGCTCTTGTCTGAACAACATGTGTTAGAATATCCACAGTAAAATAATATAATACATGTAGTAAGAATCTTGTCTTCATATATACAACACAACCTTAATCTTCTAAGCCTTTTCCACTAGTATAGCGGCAAGCCTAGATAAATATCCATATTAACCAGGCTCTAAACTGTTGATAACTCAATTTTTGTATATGTATTTTTATTTTGAAATCCCTATTACTTTGAATGCATTTGTCAAAATTCAAGGAAGGGCTTAACCTTTATGCAATATTAAGGGTCATTCCCATTTTTTCAGGATGTACCAAGATAAGCTGGCATTTTTAAAGAAGCAGCTCAAGCAACTGGAGGACGGAACGTTACCCGAGTTTTTGAAGCGTAACAAGAAAATCGACCAGCAATATAGAGAGAGGCTTAAACTTATGGAAGTATTCAAAGAGTATGAGGTAAGCTATGAGGTTTGTTCTCGAAAAGATTTATTTTCGAGTAATGAAAAATGAGAAATACATTGCAGAGGGAATAAGTTAAGTCTTGACTGAGATTTAAGAAAATGTGCATATTTCATTCCCAAAATTGCCTCGCATTGTTCTATAGGTTGGAGCCATACATTTTGTATATATATTTTTGTCATGTGTTTAGAGTAAATGTTCTTATCCTGTTTTTTTGCCAGACTAATTTCATTTAGCCATATACAAAATTTAAGGAGAACTCTTCCAGATTATGATGTCAAAAAAAGAGAAAAATGTATACAATAAACAGAAAAAGTTTTTCCTATAAATACAGAATTTATTTTCATCTTGTATTATACAATTTTTAGCTGGAAGTTATTGAAAGAGAATACAAAAAGGAGAAGAAACTGTCAGCAAAAGATTTTGAGGTAAATTTTCATCTATTAAAAACATTGACAATGTTATGGATATCCTTCTTTAGGCAAGTAACATTTAAAAAAAAAACCCAAACAACTTTTAATCTTGGGAAATATATATGGCTTGGGGAGGGGAATGGGGCCTTAAACATCATGAAATAAGAGTGGTGGCATGGCCAATTGGTTAATGCGTCGGACTAGTAATCTAAGGATTGCTGACGGCATGGGTTCAACCCCTGTCAGGAGCAAGCCATTGTTTCCTTGAGCAAGAAACTTTACAGAAATTGCTTAGTACTGGTTGGTTCCAGGAACGGATTCGAGAGTGTTTCGATAAACTTACAGCTTCCAACACAAACTAAAATAAATGTGTATAAACTAAACTAACATAAAATCAGGGCAGTGTGTAAGATTAAAGATTTTCAGGCTGGCCGGCCTCTGTGACAGCAAAGGTTTATCGCTTGCTTCTAGCGTAAGGTCTTCTTACCTTTTTCAAGTATCAAGCTGATATTGAGCGAATAATTTACCAAAGCTATTATAAATTAACTAACAAGCCTAGCAAAATTTAAAAAAAAATGAATAAACAGCAAAAAAAAAATTTCGTATTATATAGAGGATATTGAATGAGTGTAGGTTTAATACTATATTTATAAAACGAGTTGAATAAATTAAGGATTAAATCTACACAAATATAATATTCGATTTAGCGCATATATAAAATATGAACAGTTAACTGTTAAAAAGATTCATTTTTGCATTGACGCATCTATAGTGTAACGCTAATGTTAGCGCTTTAACCCTATGTTTATATATAACCCAAATGATGTTATGCCAAAGTATTATTACACTAGTGTAATATTGTTTTTATTGAATGACTTTATTACCCTTCTGTACTGCGGTTTATGTGATAATTATTACATGCTTTTCAGAAGACAGTGATTTTATATTTGAAAATTTCAAAGGATATCTTTATAAAAGTACAATATCATTGTAGCAAAACCATTTTTGTTTGTAGTTAAAAAGAACATACCATAATTCCAAATGGAAAAAGAATGTGATCCCTCGGAAGCATTAAATTAATCAGAAAAAAATACATGAAAATTGCAGACTCAGTTTGATTGAGTCTGTACATGAGGGATAATGAAGAAGTGCAACATCCCTGAGAGGAACTGGAACTAGTAAATAGTAAACTCTTAAAACTTACTTTGGTATTCAATGTATTTGGTTCTCAAAAAAAATTATTATTCAAATTGTGTTGTATATTTTAAAAGGAGAAGAAAATTGACTTGAAGGAAAGTTTGATAGCTGATCTAGAGGAGAAGAAGAGGAGTATTGAGTCTGAAAGAAGCCAACTAGAGCTGACCGGCGGTCATTGTAACTTCTTGCTGTCCACTTCACTTGGTAAGATTTTTCTAATTTGATATTGATTTATCAATCAATTTATCCTAGACAAGGTTCAGATTTCTAAATATAGACAGCAATCCATGTGGTTTGGTAAGATTTTTCTGATTTGATATTGATTTATCAATCAATTTATCCTAGACAAGGTTCAGATTTCTAAATATAGACAGCAATCCATGTGGTTGGGTAAGATTTTTCTAATTTGATATTGATTTATCAATCAACTTATCAGAGACAATGTTCAGATTTCTAAATATAAATAGCAATCCATGTGCTTAAGGGAATGTTGATGGTTCTACTTAAGTGCCGCTTAGGCCTGAAATAATGCACAGAGGGGCACCTGAAAATCTTCCTCCACCACTTGAGCTGGAAAGTTGCCATATGACCTTTAATGTGTCTATGTGACTTTAAAATTCATCAAAACAAGTAACATATTTATATATGAATGTATAATTGTACATCCATTTCACAATGATATATATGAAAATGGTAATAAACCAAGTATAAAAATAAGTGGAAACCCTTTATTATTTTTAATTTTATTCCTTAAAATGTATGTAGAATTATTCCAAGCTTCATTTTTACTCTTGGAGAGAAAGATGACTTCTTCCGATTTTTCATTGATACAATATAATATACCTTGTAAATAATGCTGACAGCTATTTAAATATGGTTGACACAGTATTGCCTTAACTTGTTATAAATCTAACCAGATTTATACATTTTATTGTTGCTAGAAATGGGGAAATATATTTATTTCAGATACAGTGGAAGTTAAACCAATTTCAACGAGGAAATTAAGACGGCGTCCCAACGAGCCTGTACCGATACCTGAGAAAAGACGGAAACCTTCTCCTGATATACTCTATATCCTTTTATGTTGATAATTATTTTGTGTTGCAGAAAATATTATTGAAGGTTTTTGAGAGAATTAGGGGTGAGTGAGGAGAAGCATGCTCTTAAATGATGTCATTTCAGGGCATTTAATGAATGAATTGTGTTCTTAGGATAACATCATTTCAGGGCATTTTAAATTATAAATGGACTGTGCTCCATGGATAAAGTCATTTTAGGGTATTTTATTAATGAACTGTGTTCTTAGAATAACATCATTTCAGGGCATTTTAAATTATGAATAGACTGCACTCTATGGATAACATCATTTCAGGGCATTTTTGAATGAACTGTGTTCTTCTTAGGTTAACATCATTTCAGAGCATTTTATGAATGTCATGCACTCGAAGGATAAAATCATTTCAGGGTGTTTTATGAATTAAATGTATTCTAAGGATAATATCATTTCAGGGCAATGTATGAATTAACTGTGTTTTTAGGATAACCTCATTTCAGGGCATTTTATATATGAAGTGCATTTTAAGAATAACATCATTTCAGGGTATTTTTTGAAGGAACTAGGCTCTTAAGGATAACCTCATTTCAGGGCATTTTATAAATGAACTGCATTTTAAGAATACATGTTATATCATTTCAGGGCATTTAATGAATCTGCACTCTAAGGATAACATCATTTTACCCTTATGAATGAAGTTGTAAATTCATGTGTTACTGTAAGCAAAAAGTATCAGAGAAAATGACATGAATTTATATGGGATATAATTAATCTAATCAAATTAAACCATTTAAAATATGGTAGAATGTGCAAAAACAAATTATATACCTGACATTTGTTTAAAGTTCAGATCAGAATATCTATCCCTTGGATATCTGTTTTAGGAATAAATTTTTCCAATTTGAACCACAAAATCTTGTCTGACATTTTTAATCCTTTGTCGTCAATTTATAGCCACCTCTACCGACGGACTTTACTGTTGGCTGACTATCTTTAAATTTTCATCATCATATCCGAACAATTAAACAATACATAGCAGAATGTGCACAAATCCATTTAGACAATCCAGCAAGTCAAGTGTTCAAACCTGAACTATAAAAACTTTTTTCTACCTATTATATATATATATGCAGCCTTAACATTTCGTACCTCAGATCAGTTTCTGTTTAGACGAGAGCGAGATAATGGATGATCTTAGGATTATCAACAAAGTTGGTGGAAAACCTCTTGGTCGTAAACCCATACCCACCATAGGACCATTTGACATTGTTGCAGACGTTAAAATTGACGATGGGCGATTATATTATGACAAGAGATGGTAACATTTTCATTGTTTATTTTTATTCTCTTTTTTTTTTTTTGTGATATCCATCGACTCTACTATTAGCATGATTATTCAAGGAATGGGGCGAGTTGTTGTACTCACGTCAGAGTCGCCATCACGCATTGGTTAAGGTTTTTGTGCGCAACCAGGTAACTCCAAAACTATTTGAGAGAATGAATTGAAATTTCACACTCTTGTTCTCTGTGATTATCTTGCATGATGGTCACAGGACCCATAACTGTGAGTTATCATTTTACAAAGTAATGCCCCTTTCCTTACTGTCGAGTTCTTAGAATAGTCATGCACGCTGCATTACATACAGTTCTACACGTTAATAAGAATTTCATACAATTTACAGAATTATAAGTGATTTTACAACAAATACTATATTGAGAAAAATTATCTAGCATTATGTGCTGGTTGTAGAGATGTCATTTTTAGCTCACCAGGGTGAGCTTTTGTGATCGCTTTTCGTCCCTAGTCCGTCCATCCGTAAACTTTTGCTTTAAATGACATCTCCTCATAAACCACAAGGCCAATTTCATCCAAACTTCACAGGAATGTTCCTTTGGTGGTCACCTTTAAAAATTGTTCAAAGAATTTAATTCCATGCAGAACTCTGGTTGCCATGGCAACCGAAAGAAAAATCTTTAAATATCTTCTTTTAAACAACCCTAAGAGCTAGAGCTTAGATATTTGGCATGAAACATCTTCTAGTGAGTGTCTACCAAGTTTGTACAAATAAAAGCCCTTGGTTCAAAATTGTCCCCGCCCCAGGGGGTCAGTGATTTTCCCTATGTGCATATAGTAAAAACTTAAGAAATCTTCTTTTAAAGAACTCAAATAGCTAGAGCTAAGATATTTAGCATGAAACATGTTCTTATGGGTGTCTACCAAGTTTCTTCAAATGAAAGCCCTGGGGTCAAAATTGGCCCCGCCCAAGGGGGTCATTGATTTTCCCTATGTGCATATAGTAAAAACTTAAAAAATCTTCTTTTAAAGAACCAAAAGAGCTAGAGCTAAGATATTTAGCATGAAACATTTTCTAGTGAGTGTCTACCAAGTTTGTTCAAATAAAAGCCCTGTGGTCAAAATTGGCCCCGCCCCAGGGGGTCATTGATTTTCCTTATATGCATATAGTAAAAACTTAAAAATCTTCTTTGATAAAACCAAAATAGCTAGAGCTTAGATATTAAGCATGAAACATCTTTTAGTAAATATCTACAAATTTTGTTCAAATAAAAGCTGGGGGGTCAAAACTGGCCCTGCCCAAGGGATGTCATTTTTTTTAACTATATGTGTATAGTAAAAACTTAAAAAATCTTCTTTTAAAAAACCCAATGAGCTAGAACTTAGATGTTTAGCATGAAACATCTTCTTATGGGTGTCTACCAAGTCTGTTCAAATAAACAAATGAAAGCCCTTGGGTTTAAAATTGGCCTGGGGTGGGGGGGGGGGGGGGGGGGGGGGGGGGGGGGGGGGGGGGGGGGGGGGGGGGGGGGGGGGGGGAGGGCTATATACAGGTGAGCGACCTCAGGGCCATCATGGCCCTCTTGTTTCTGCTTGTGACAGAGCTTGTTTTTTTCCCCCTTGCAAGAGATGTTCAAGTTATACCCTGTTTTTGATACAATTAGCTTTTGATATAAAGTATCATTTTCACCATCAAATATTTGATATATAAGCAGTTTAAGAAATATAGTAAATTGTGTCGTAACCTAATTGATTTAGCACAACAATTCTTATTTGGCATTTATTGCCCATTATATTTTTGGTTTTATATTAAGCTGTCCTGATGAAGCTTAAATTGAGAAACAGGGGCCTGTTTCACTAAATTTCTTACGAACATTATTTTCGTAAGTCAAAATTTAAAGTTGTTTGTACAGTAGTAACTAATTGTATAATTCTGCCATGTATCATCTCATTTGAATGGTCTTTGTAAGACGATTCCAATGAGACATTGCATGGCAGAATCTGGTGATGAATGAAAACATCAGGGACAATACTTGATTTTGACTTACGAACGTGGCCGAGTGGTTAAGGTCTTTGACTTCAAACCACTTGCCCCTCACCTCTGTGGGTTCGAATCCCGACAGGGCCTTTGGATTCTTTCATGTGAGGAAGCTATCCAGCTAGCTTACGGAACGTCGTTGGTTCTACTCAGGTACCCGTTCGTGCCTGAAATAATGCACGGACGGGCACCTGAGGTCTTCCTCCACCAGTAAAGCTGGAACGTCGCAATATGACCTATACTGTGGCGATGTGACGTAAAACCCAAAACAAACAAAAGACTTACAAACAACTTTTTCATAAGAAGTTTAGTGAAACAGGCCCCAGGTCTTGATATTTAAAATTGTGTTGGTTTTTGATCTTTTTGTCCTATTTGGTACAGACTTCATACAAAAATAAATAATTTAAAGAAAAAGTCTGGTTATTTCTGGATCATCCCTGGTATTTAGCTGATGTAATTTAATACACATTTCTGTATGCCTGTAATTCTTTCTTGAGGAAAGAATGTAACATTTTGGTATATGAAATATTTTGAATATATTATATTTTTAATAGGTTCCATAGGAATCAGCCAGTGTTTGTTGAATGTAAGGAAACAGGCAAGTTCAGTGGAGTAATTACAGCTATAGGTACTCAAGAGGTATGTTTGATTTATGTGTTATTTTTCTTACATTAATATTTCAATTTAATGATTTAAAAATTCAATATTTCAAACATGAAAAAAGATGAAATGAATAAATCAAGCCTATTTGTTTATTTCAGAAATGATATATCCTAAACACTGAGTTTATGGCTCAATAGAATCACTTTTTTTGAGTTCGGATGCGAGGAATTATATTACAAGGGAGTGGCCTGTGTGATATAATGATGCCCATCTGAACAACAAACAGTGATTTTATCAAGCAATAAAATCAACAATTCAGATATATTATTTTGATTCTAAGACAACTTCTACAAATAAATGCTGCCTTACCTGATATGAAGCTAAATTGTGCCTGATTTCTTTATTTACTAATTTTCAGGGCACTGCATTTTTAGTGGTTATGTCACATGTATAATGATTTAGATTACATTACGTGTCTCAATATAGAAGGTCAACAGTGATTTTATTATAAATTAATACACACTTTCATTTCTTCCATGTTTAATAGAAATAATGCGAGTCATGTAAGAATGGATGATTTTGCAGTATTTATCACCATATTTCTACTGCATTGCCCATGCATATTTTTGCATATTTTGACTTTGTTTGGTATTTAAATTGGATTGTAAGCACTATTTGCAATGTATAATTAATTATTTTTATTCATTTCAAAATACTTTTCATTTGAATACATTTTCCAAATTTAGCATGAATCTGAGGGCATACTGCTTTAAACTTGAAAGTTGCCATATGTTCTTTACAAGAAAAGGACTTGGGGAGTAAAGGACTTTTGTTGCGTTTCATTAACATACTTACATTATCGTAACTTGAGTTTGATCTTAACTTTTTGTGTTAAGCAGAACTTACGTATTTATTTGCGTTTCACTAAACTTTCTTAGCTATGCATTTGTGTAAGTTAAATGTAAAATTATGCTCATTTAAAACTGGTGTTCATTACGCGTTCTGTTTAGTGAAACGCAACTAACCTAATTTTACGTTTTGGGTAAGTCCAAATTTATGAAAAAGAAAAGCAAAGCTTATGGAATGTTAGTGAAACGCTCGCTTGGTTTGTAACCTCAAGTCACTATGTATTATGCTGAAAGTGTTGTACATATTACTTTGACAGAGTATTTAGTTCAAGTTCAGACCTGGGGATGATTACATTGATCAGTAATTGATTTAATTACAATTACTTTCAGATTTTATTGTAATTGATTACAATTGATTACTCAGACTTACCTCTGTAATCAATTAAATTACAATTACTTTTAGAAAGTAATTGATTGATAATTGATTACATTCCATGTATAACTATAAACAAAAGTTTCTTAATGCTATTTAATATACTAGTTTACATTATATACATTATATACACAAAGGATTTCCAGCTCATCATCAGTCATCATTTTAACACACTTTTAGTTACTGTCACATCACTTTATCATATTTTAGCATTACACTTTAGCATCATAAGTTCATGAAACCGTCTGTCAGTCAGACTGCATCTATCAGGACGGAAATTTTACCCACAACACTAAACAAACGCTCTACAAGGGCCAATGATGCAGGAATGGTACTCAGTCTTCTTGGTGTAGGTTTCATAATAAACTCTCTGCAACAGAAATTTTAAAAAAGTGTCAATTGTACAGTATGCTTTATACAGGTGTTAAAACAGGTGTGAAAACAATAAATTTTTATATGGGAATTCAAAGAGACAATAGACTTTACAAAGAATTATCAATTTTTTTTACAAACACTTCAACAGTATGCATTATAATATAGACACATTGTCTATCACCATACAAAATAACTGTTTGCATATAATTAAAATATGGTAATATGCATCTGACATAAACTCTAGAATATACAAAGTAAAGAAGTAATCTACAGTGTTTGAAACTTTTTAAAAATGGTTTAACCAAAATATGTAAAACAAATTTAACATACCTTTATGTGGGTAATGAAATTTGAATGTGACTTAGTGTCTCCATTTATCTTCTTAGGGCACAATTTGCACTGTGCTGTCACATTTCCAGATTTTCTTTAGGAAATTCAAAGACATCATAATCCAATGATTTGACATTTTGGTAAGAATACCAGCCAAACAATGATGTCTATCTTTCAGTTAGAATTTGTTAACTGTATGGATTAAAACTTATTTCTTCATTGTGAGTGATGCCTTAAAATGTCTCACTTGATATTTTTACTACCTTAGTTAAACTGTAACATGTGAAATAAATCATTTGAATTTCAATAGTTTCATGTAAAATCTGAAAGTAATCAACGTCAATCAAATTGTAATCATAATTACAGACTGAATTTAAGCTGTAATTGATTAATTACAATTAATGTAATCAATTTTGAGCATGGTAATCAATTACATGATGATTACAGTGTAATCATGTAATAAATTAAAAAATCGATGATTACGATTAGTGATTACCCCAGGTCTGTTCAAGTTATTATTTTGTTTTACAAAATTTCAGATCTGGATCAGGAAAACAACAGATAGTAGCAAGATTAAGGTGTATCTTCATCAACTTCAGAAGGGAAAATTTGTTCTGCGACGTAAACAGACGTGACATCAGGCTGATTTTTTCTGACATTTTCATATCGCAATATGAGCCGTGTTATGACAAAACCAACATAGTGGGTTTGCCACCAGCATGGATCCAGACTAGCCTGCGCATCCTCGCAGTCTGATCAGGATCCATGCTGTAGGCTATCAGTTTTCTACTTGTTATAGGGTTTGTAAGCGAACAGCATGGATCTTGATCAGACTGCGCGGATGCACAGGCTGGTCTGGATCCATGCTGGTCGCAAACCCACTATGTTGGTTTTGTCATGACGCGGCTCATATGATTTCCACATTGTTTCCACAATTTTTTTTGGCATATTTCATCTTCATTACACACTTTTCATATTCCATCACCATTATACACATACAATGTAAACATTACACATTACCATATGACATATTATTTCTAATGACATAAAATTCTGCCATTACACATTATGACATACTAAGAATACACATCTTGCATAAAACTCAGAGACATGTTTATGTTGACATAGTGTCTTTTCATTACACAGTATTTAATACACATCATACTTTCCAAATACACAAGTTCCTTATGTCATTAGATATTTTCATTACACAACACAATATTTGTCGCATACATTTATACATAATGGATACATTGTATTAAAGACGTTTTAGGGAGTTTTCATAATGACATATAAAAAGAATTAACAAAGTCAAATTCAGGGGCAGATGACTCAAAAACGGTGACAAACATCCCCCCCCCCTAAAAATTTTTTTCGCTTTAAATGTTTTTGTTATCATATTTTAACAACATGCCAAGTTTAAAAAAGTTCTTTTGAACCATTTTTAGCTCACCTGTCACAAAGTGACAGGGTGAGCTTTTGTGATCGCTTTTCGTCCGGCGTCCGTCCATCCGGCGTCCGTCCGTCGTCCGTCGTCCGTCCGTAAACTTTTACTTTAAATGACATCTCCTCATAAACCACTAAGCCAATTTCATCCAAACTTCACAGGAATGTTCCTTTGGTGGTCACCTTCAAAAATTGTTCAAAGAATTTAATTCCATGCAGAACTCTGGTTGCCATGGCAACCGAAAGAAAAAACTTTAAATATCTTCTTTTAAAAAACCATAAGAGCTAGAGCTTAGATATTTGGCATGAAACATCTTCGAGTGAGTGTCTACCAAGTTTGTTGAAATAAAAGCGCTGGGGTCAAAATTGGCCCCGCCCCGGGGGGTCATTGATTTTCCCTATATGCATATAGTAAAAACTTAAAAAATCTTCTTTTAAAGAACCCAAAGAGCTAGAGCTAAGATATTTAGCATGAAACATGTTTTAATGGGTGTCTACCAAGTTTCTTCAAATAAAAGCCCTGGGGTCAAAATTGGCTCCGCCCCGGGGGGTCATTGATTTTCCCTATTTGAATATAGTAAAAACTTAAAAATCTTCTTTTGAAGAACCCAAAGAGCTAGAGCTAAGATATTTAGCATGAAACATGTTCTAATGGATGTCTACCAAATTTGTTCAAATAAGAGCACTGGGGTCAAAATTGGCCCTGTCCCGGGGACAATGATTTTCCTTAAATGTGTATAGTAAAAACTTTAAAATCTTCTTCGAAAAAACCTGAATAGCTAGAGTTTAGATATTAAGCATGAAACATCTTCTAGTAAGTGTCTACAAAGATTGTTCAAATAAAAGCCCTGGGGTAAAAACTGGCCCTGCCCCAGGGGTGTCATTGTTTTTAAATATATGTGTAAAGAAAAAACTTAAAAAATCTTCTTTTAAAAAACCCAACGAGCTACACCTTAGATGTTTAGCATGAAACATCTTCTAATGGGTGTCTTCCAAGTTTGTTCAAATAAAAGCCCTGGGGTTTAAACTGGCCCCGCTCCGGGGGGGGCCTATATACAGGTGAGCGACTTCAGGGCCATCATGGCCCTCTTGTTAATTTTGCCTATATGTCCATATGAAAACTTTCGAATGTCTTGATATAGGTGTAGGTTCATGACTGAATTTATTAAAATACTTGAATAAAATTATATTATGCAAGTTTCTGGTGAGCATAATACTACTTAATTTTCCAAGTTCAATAAATTTAGCAATGAAGCTACACAAATATTGTATAATATTTTAATTATCACATACCCAAATTAAGAATAGTTTAGGAAACAAAAAGAAGATTTTTGTGTTTAAGAATTCTTTTTCCATTGACTGTAGTGTTAACATTTTGCATGTGTTTAAGCTAGTGCAGGGGGACATCAGATCAAAATATATGCATGGCCATGCCAAATCATTTATATGTAGTTTGTAAAGCAGTACGGGTATGTGACAAAACTTCTGTATAATTTATCTTTAATTTGCTAGAATAACATTCTCAGCTATATTCAATAGTAACGAAATATAGTTTTAAATATTTAATGTAAAATGTTGTATATGGGTACAATAATACATGTAGCTTGAGATCTTAAAGTGAGTCAAAAGTGTCTTTTAACAGAAAAAATTGTTTATTTTAAATATTCAGAATAATTTTATTTTGTTCTGTTACTTTTAAACCATTTTAATTAACAATACTAAATTTCTTCCACATATTACACAAATATTAAACAGTACCAGCTTCTGGTATAAACTAAGTCAGTTAATAACTTTTTTTAGATATTGTCAGATTACAATGTCATTTGAATGGGGAATAATACCTCAATTATTTAGTGAATTATTTTCACTTCTAGGGTACTAGAAGATCTGTTCATAAAAAGTGTAGTTTTCATGTGTTTTATAAAAAATGCTAGACAAATATTTTGTTCTTTTGTTAAAGATTGTATTAACTGAATGAATTTGTACAAAAATAAAACGTATTTAAAACATTTATACTGTCGTTTTTTGGCTCACCTGAGCTTGCTCAGGGTGAGCTATTAGGATCGGTGAATGTCCGTCGTTGGTCGTACGTCCACAATTGCTTGTGAACACACTAGTGGTCACACTTATGACTCAATCATCATCAAACTTTGTCAGGATGCTTGTTTAGTCAATTGCTCGGATGAGTTCGAAACTGGGTCATTTCAGATGGAAAACTAGGTCAAAGGAGCTAAAAATAGAAAAACCTTGTGAACACTCTAGTGGTCACATTTTTGACCCAATCATCATCAACCTTTGTCAGAATGCTTGTTTAGATTATTGCTTGAATGAGTTCGAACATGGGTCATCTCCGATGAAAACTTAGGTCACAGGAGCTATAAATAGAAAAACCTTGTGAACACTCTAGTGATCACATTTTGGAACCAATCATCATCAAACTTGGTCAGAATGCTTGTTTAGTCAATTGCTTGGATGAGTTCGAACATGGGTCATCTCTGATGAAAAACTAGGTCACAGGAGCTAAAAATAGAAAAACCTTGTGATCACTCTATAGTGGTCACATTTTTGACCCAATCATCATCAAACTTTGTCAGGATGCTTGTTTAGATAATTGTGCAGATGAGTTCGAATATGGGTCATCTCTGATGAAAAACTAGGTCACAGGAGCTATAAATAGAAAAAACCTTGTGAACACTAGTGGTCACATTTTTACCTAATCATGATCAAACTTTGTCAGGATGCTTGTGCAGATAATTGCTTTAATGAGTTTGCACATGGTTTATCTCCGATGAAAAACTAGGTCACAGGAGCTATAAATAGAAAAACCTTCTGAACACTCTAGTGGTCACATTTTTGACCCAATTATTAAGAAACCTTGTCAAGATGCTTGTTTAGTAACAGACCTGGGGTAATCACTAATCGTAATCATCGATTTTTTAATTTATTACATGATTACACTGTAATCATCATGTAATTGATTACCATGCTCAAAATTGATTACATTAATTGTAATTAATCAATTACAGCTTAAATTCAGTCTGTAATTATGATTACAATTTGATTGACGTTGATTACTTTCAGATTTTACATGAAACTATTGAAATTCAAATGATTTATTTCACATGTTACAGTTTAACTAAGGTAGTAAAATATCAAGTGAGACATTTTAAGGCATCACTCACAATGAAGAAATAAGTTTTAATCCATACAGTTAACAAATTCTAACTGAAAGATAGACATCATTGTTTGGCTGGTATTCTTACCAAAATGTCAAATCATTGGATTTATGATGTCTTTGAATTTCCTAAAGAAACATCTGGAAATGTGACAGCACAGTGCAAATTGTGCCCTAAGAAGATAAATGGAGACACTAAGTCACATTCAAATTTCATTACCCACATAAAGGTATGTTAAATTTTGTTTTACATATTTTGGTTAAACCATGTTTTAAAAAAGTTTCAAACACTGTAGATTACTTCTTTACTTTGTATATTCTAGAGTTTATGTCAGATGCATATTACCATATTTTAATTATATGCAACAGTTATTTTGTATGGTGATAGACAATGTGTCTATATTATAATGCATACTGTTGAAGTGTTTGTAAAAAAAATTGATAATTTCTTTGTAAAGTCTATTGTCTCTTTGAATTCCCATATAAAAATTTATTGTTTTCACACCTGTTTTAACACCTGTATAAAGCATACTGTACAATTGACACTTTTTTAAAATTTCTGTTGCAGAGAGTTTATTATGAAACCTACACCAAGAAGACTGAGTACCATTCCTGCATCATTGGCCCTTGTAGAGCGTTTGTTTAGTGTTGTGGGTAAAATTTTCCGTCCTGATAGATGCAGTCTGACTGACAGACGGTTTCATGAACTTATGATGCTAAAGTGTAATGCTAAAATATGATAAGTGAAGTGACATTAACTAAAATTGTATTGTGAAACGGATGACTGTTGGTGAGCTGGAAATCCTTTGTGTATATAATGTATATAATGTAAACTAGTATATTAAATAGCATTAAGAAACTTTTGTTTATAGTTATACATGGAATGTAATCAATTATCAATCAATTACTTTCTAAAAGTAATTGTAATTTAATTGATTACAGAGGTAAGTCTGAGTAATCAATTGTAATCAATTACAATAAAATCTGAAAGTAATTGTAATTAAATCAATTACTGATCAATGTAATCATCCCCAGGTCTGTTTAGTAAATTGTTTGGATGAGTGCGAACATAGGTCATCTCGGGTGGAAAACTAGGTCACAGGAGCTAAAAAAAGAAAAACCTTGCGAACAGTCTAGTGGTCACATTTTTTACCCAATTATCATCAAACTTTGTCAGAATGCTTGTCTAGTCGATGCTCGGATAAGTTTGAACATGATTTATCTCGATGGAAAACTAGGTCACAGGAGCTAAAAATAGAAAAACCTTGTGAACACTCTAGTGTCACATTTTGACTCAATTATCATCAAACTTGGTCAGGATGCTTGTCAAGGTAATTGCTCGAATGTCAAGCTCGAATATGGGTCACCTGGGGTCAAAAACTAGGTCACACTGCTCAAATATGGATAATCTTTGTTAACACTAGTGGTCATATTTTTGACACACCTGTCATGAAACTTGGTCAGAACGCTTGTCTAGGTAATTGCTCGGATGAGTTAGCGATCTAGGGCCATTTTGGCCCTCTTGTTTAAAATTAGTTTATATAAGAAATGAACCTTTCCAAATGTCGACAGAGGAAAAAAAATAGAACCGCCCGATGTCAAACGGCAATTCTTGCTGTCGTCTGCTCATTGATTCGAGGGGTTCGCGCCAATTTTTTGCTATCGTCTGCTCATAATGCTTCGAGGGGTTTGCGCCAATATTTGCTTTTGTCTGCATCATAGAAATGGGGTATTCTTCGGCCTCGATAAATGTCCATATACTTGTAAGATTGTACATTTGTGTACAATGTCTATAATATATAAAGTTGACAACAGAAACCCATACCAGTTTTAAAATAATTAGCAACTTGTAAATTACAAAGGCTACAGTATTGAAAAGTACGTTACAAACGTGCAGTATTATAAACAGTTTTATGATACTGCGGCTCGGGTTATATTTTCAAACAGCCGTTAATATATTGCCATATAACCTGTCAACTATCTTTAATAACGTTGCTAATAATTTAACCTGTCAAGAATATTTGTAAAGAATTATAATACACCAAAATTCTTTTTTAGAGAAAAAAGTGGGATTTCTTTAATAATTGACAGCAGACGTGTACTATATATATAACTTTATAATACTGCACGCTCGGGTTATCTATTTTTTTTTTATTTAATGCTATATAAGGTCACCACCGGAAAGCCCATATGGGCGACCATACGCTCAAGTCGGGCCATCCTAGAGCGTCCCGCCGAGATTTTTTCGTCGATTTTTTTCCAGCTTATATTGGTGGAGGAAGACTTTGTGTGTATTTGCGTTTATTTATACTCGCCACCGGTTGCCCATATGGGCGAGTCCTCCAGAAGAGTATTAGTCATTTTAGATTTTTGGAGGATAGTGCAATTACAGATACAGAAAGATGCCCCAATTCCAGAAGCTTCTCCTGGTTTTTTAGCGTGCCAAGTGTTTAAGCACCCATACACGGGACCTCGATTTAAAGTCTCATCCGAAAGACTGATTTTAGTAATTTTAGTTGGCCAGCCCGGGAATCGAACCCACAATGTCGAGATTACAAGTCTCGCGCTCTAACCGATTGAGCTATGCGGGCTGGCTGGAGGAAGACCCCAGGTGCAACCGTTTATATAGGGCCATATAACCTGTCAGAATCTTTATAAATGATATTATAATACTGCACGTTTGTAACGTCATTTTTCATTGGATAATCGTGACGTTTATATAGTTTTATATACACGGCTGCTGTCGATTCATGAAAGAATGTTACTTTTATTCTCTAAAAATGATGCTTGCTGTATTATAAATTCGTTATAAAGATTGTTGACAGGTTATATGGCCGTATATAAACGGCTGTTTGCAATATAACCCTCGCCTAACGGCTCGGGTTATATTTACAAACAGCCGTTTATATAGGGCCATATAACCTGTCAACGATCTTTATAACTAATAATATAAACGTCACGATTATCCAATGAAAATTGACGTGACAAACGTGCATTATTATTAAAACCTATAAACGAGATGATTATCCAATGAAGAATGACGTTACAAACTTGCAGCATTATAATGACGTCAGAACCGGAAGTTTTACAGTTAACGTCGTTTCCAAGCGATTTTTGATTGTAACGACAAGAGGTAATTTCGCAATCATTACCAAAAATATAGTTGAATTATTGGCAAATTAATCAATAAGTCTACCTTAAAGAAGGTGAACAGGAATCTTAGAAGAATTGTCAATTTACTGCGGGTAAGTTTAACACGGATTAGATCTAGCATATTTATCTATGTTAGGTTTTTTTTATTTCCGAAAGAATATCAAATTTTTTAAGTCAAGTAAATTTTATTTATAACTCGGATACATCAACAATTAACATAAGCTCTGATGAGCTTTTTACACCGACAATTTTTATAACGATAACCAATAACGGCATTCTATTCAAGGAACTAGATATGCTTATAGAGGAGGTTGATATAAAATATGCAGATTTTATTAACGTCTTAGCAGTTAAGTTTTCAGAAACAGATGACTTGGCATAATTCTTGAAGATACATGTAATGAAATAAGTAAAAACCAAAGCCACAATCTCAAAACACTAAGGAAAATATTTTTTGCTAATCGGGAATACAGTTCACGGTGTATAACAAATACGGATCTCTGCCCAAACCGCATTGCCGCGACATCGTTTGTTCAAACAACGGACACAGGTCTCTCGAACTGAGTTACTTAGGAAAGCAAATATATTTTGTCTATGATAGTTGATGAGATGATGAAAATTTCGACTGTTTAGAAATTTAATTCTTAAATGTTTGAATTGAAAAACAATTAGGCATCCATGATGTGATGGAAAAAAAAACACAAACAAACTAGGCGATATTTCTTTATTTTCTTCAGTTTCGGGGTAACCCCATTTATTTCCCCGTCATTGGCATAATAGGGGTCGAGGAGCATCCTCCTATCCGTCTTACAAGGATACAAGTATATATTTGATTTCTGACTACAGATAATGTGATAATATAAGAATTCGCAAAGGTATCATAACTTGTCCGAAAAACGAAAAGTGACAAGGTTTAAAAGCGAGTTAACTCTTTATGAATTAATTCTATAATTTTAATTGAGTTGCGTCCCATACATAAAGATAATAGATAATATTTATACAAATTAAAATGTTTTAAAATTCTGTCACAGGATCGTTTTTATTTCTACAATTGTATTCAAATTGGTGTTTTATATCATTAAACAATTTTCTTAACAATATGGGTATTGGTTGATCAAAATTATTATGCTTACAATTGTTACGATATTTCAAATTTGCCCATTTGGTTTCAAATATAACAATATTGATCAATTTATTATTAATTACTTGTTATTTCTTATCTACTTCCTTATTTTGAAAATTTTTATTAGCGTACAGAACAGAAACTTAAATAATCTAGAAATAAACTTTTCGTGAAATTATGGCAGCGAAGTAACTTAATAAGGTCTCCATACAATATCCAAGTACTTAATAAGGTCTCCATTAAATAACCAAGTACTTAATAAGGTCTCCATACAATATCCAAGTACTTAATAAGGTCTCCATTAAATAACCAAGTACTTAATAAGGTCTCCATTAAATAACCAAGTACTTAATAAGGTCTCCATTCAATATCCAACAAGTACTTAATAAGGTCTCCATTCAATATCCAAGTACTTAATAAGGTCTCCATTCAATATCCAACAAGTACTTAATAAGGTCTCCATTCAATATCCAAGTACTTAATAAGGTATTCAATATCCAAGTACTTAATAAGGTCTCCATTCAATATCCAAGTACTTAATAAGGTCTCCATTCAATATCCAAGTACTTAATAAGGTCTCCATTCAATATCCAAGTACTTAATAAGGTCTCCATTAAATAACCAAGTACTTAATAAGGTCTCCATTCAATATCCAACAAGTACTTAATAAGGTCTCCATTCAATATCCAAGTACTTAATAAGGTCTCCATTCAAATTCCAAGTACTTAATAAGGTCTCCATTCAATATCCAAGTACTTAATAAGGTCTCCATTCAATATCCAAGTACTTAATAAGGTCTCCATTCAATATCCAAGTACTAAATAAGGTCTCCATTCAATATCCAAACTTCTATCACATGATGTTATCATTAAAAAAAAAAAAAAAAAAAAAAAAAAAAAAAAAAACATTGACAGCTGGTAATAAACAACTGTTTATAAGTAGTATACTTTACAGGCCCGTTGGTGACAAGTTCAAATGGGTGGGAGTGTGAGGGGCGGGTCACTTTGGAGACGGGGGTCTGGGGTCCATCCCCACTAAAAAAAAATCTGTGCATTTCCAGTCGCAATTTAAGAGCAAATTTCTATATTTCTCATTTCCAGATTTTTTTTAAAATCTTACCCATGCAAGTTTGTCAAATACCACTCGACCCTTGGAATATTCACTTCATAAGAATAAGAATGATTTAACTATACTATGTACATTTTAAGCCTTTAGAAATGCTCATCGGCTATTATAATATGCTTATATATGAGCCACGTCACCACAAGGCCAACATAGTGCGACCAGCATGGATCCAGACCAGCCTGCGCATCCGCACAGTCTGATCAGGATCCATGCTGTTAGCTTACCAACTGTATATAACAAGTAGAGAAACCGATAGCGAACGCATTATGTTGGTTTTGTCGTGCCACAGCTCAATTATGTAAATAACAGAACTATAATAAGGGACAGTATTGCTGACCAATGAAAATCTTATTACGCAGTTATCCGAGATAGTTTGCATAGATGTTCAAGTCGTTATCCACATTTAGGCTTTCTTGTAGCCTATATTCGATATTGCCATTTCAACGGCTTGTCCCTTTGAAATTAAATGGGCTAATAAATTTACAGTAAATCCACAGAGGGGCTCTTCCCTTAGATTACCTATTGAAAGCATCTTTTTGACAATCTAAAGATAAGAAATGTGTAAAATTGTGATATCGAAAAGAACTCAAACTTCTGAATTTAGCATGTGTCTAATACTTTGGATACTATGGGTTGTTTTAGCCACCAACTTATTTTTAATAGCTACTACGGCTGGAATTATTTGGGGTGGGGTCAGGATGGTGTGTGTGTGTGTGATAGAGGGGGAGGGTCAGCCCCCTGTTCCTACGAGCCTGCTTCATTAAAAAAAAAGAAGAAAAAACAATAACAAAAACATTTCTTTAGTTATTTAAGTTTTCACAATTAAGAAAACCATCCTTTATTTTGATTGTATTCGTAGTTCTATACATCTTTTATGTACCATTCACAGCCCCCATCGCTTAAAAAAATCGTTGACATGGAACAAACTATGTCGCAGCAACGGTTTTGAACATTCGTCGTCCGTTTTAGCTACATCTGTTTACAGTGAAGTTGATCTTATGTATTTGGGATAATAAACACACGAAGTACTTGTGCTCTTAAAAGAACTAATTCAACACATCAATTTTCTTTTAATCGGTGATGTTTGTTATTTTTAATATAATTAATACGAACGTGTAATTTTAGTATGATCATATTGCATTCTAGTTTTATGACCTACGAATAAAGATTTACTAGTATTCAATTACATGTACATTGACATGAAACAAATTTTCTTTAGTTTCAGCTAAAGCCGAACTCAAAGATTGCGAACCCTCGAGGAAATATGAGCAGACGACATCACAAAATGGCGCGAATCTCTCGCAGACGACAGCAAAATTTTCCGCGAAAACTACTTGGTGCTTCTTTATTTTATTCGCTCATGCTCGGTATTGGAATGGTGCAGTCAAAATCTCTCCTATGCAACTTGCATAGAAGTGTTTTAACCGACATGGCGCCCAATGAATTCTGGATGATTTTTGGAACACTTTCATTCCTTTTCTGGCTAATGAACTGTATGCTAGTGGAGTTTTCTTCACGTATATTTTGCTCAGACCACCAAATCAAAAAATCGCGGTCACTTTTTTACCCAAATTATTTAGAGCCCAAATTTACAAGATCTGGATTAGTATATGGTTATATGTAAAGTTTTCTAATAAAATAACTTATTGAATATTTGTCTCTATCATTTCATCTTAATGATCATTGACCAGCAACATAAACTATTGTGGCCAATTTGATACATTGCCCGATAGCAACAACGCATCCTATATCGTTAGCGCCTTTTCGTCTTATCGCTAGTAACAACACGACAAAGAGCCAAACGGCGCAATGTCGCCTTGTCTCTTGCGAAGTACGCCAAACGGCGCGTTGTCGTGCGGGCTTATTAACCAATCCTTCGATTTGAACCGAGCGACAATGTGACATCGAGACAACACGCCACACGACAACGCGCCGTTTGGCGTACATTGTTAGCGACAGGACGACAAGAGGAAAGTCTAACAACGGGCCGTTTGGCGCTTTGTCCTATTGTCGCTAGCGCCATTACGACGGACAAAAGTGTTCCAAATCAGCCACCATAATAAACACCTAAGATGTACAAGACGCCATGGAGATAAGGGGGCTACCTTTGGGGCCGTAGCAGGTCCATGACAGTTCCTTTAAACGGCATTGTGCTCTTTTTTTACTGTCGAGTTGAGTGGAAAAAGTAATAGATTGGCTATTATAATGTCGATTGACCAATAAGTGACAATGAAAATGTGTATGGAACAATATAAATTCTGCCTATACATGTATTTTAAAAAATGCCTGTCCAAGTTTTATCAAAATAAAATTGAGCTTATCTATACATTCTGACCGATTTAAAAAAATTGCTGTTTAACATATGGGTTATAGATTATGTTTTCATAGTAAAATCTTCAAGAGCCATGTCAACATGGCCATCCCCCGCCGAATGCGTTTGCTCATTGGAAGAATGTGTATGAAGTAGAGCAGAATACATGTTATTCAATTTTAAGAGGTCTTTTGGTAATGAAAAAACTGATGGCTGAAGTGATTACAGATTTGAAACATATGTGAATACTGATGGCTGAAAATAACAAAGGGCAATAACTGAAAAATAATGCAGGGTAGGTTATCATTCTTATGTGCTGCACTTCTCCTCAATGAGATCTATCCACTTATGAAGTTTCAAGTTGATACCTCTAACACTTTTTGAGATAAGCTCCGGACAAAAAGTATGAAAAATAACAAAGGGCAATAGCTAAAAAATTGTCAAGGGTAGATTTATCATTCTTGCGCACAGCACACCTTCTCAATAAGATAAATCCACCAATGAAGTTTCATGTTGACATCTCAAATACTTTTTGAGTTATGCTCCACTCGGGTGAAAAAATAAGTATGAAAAATAACAAAGGGCAATAACTCATAAATTATGAAGGGTAGAGTTAATCATTCTTGTGCATTGAACACCTCCTGAGTGAGATCTATCCACCCATGAAGTACCATGTTGATATCTCAAAGGCTTTTTATTTGTTTGGGTCGTCAGACCAAACAAATAATGGTAGCGAAATTTCAGAGTCTAATGTTCTTAATTGCAAATGCTGAAAGTAGTCCACTTTTTTGAAGCGGTTACTTCCCTTTTGTATGTACACTAAAGCCGAAAAATTCAGGGGAGATCACTGCGTAAAGATGGTCAAAGACAGGCGCATCAATTTTCAAGCAAAGTAATTCCCGAATGGTCGAAGATTTCTAATATTGTTTTCTGGTATTTTCTGATCGAAAATAACTAAATACAAAGCGGACATTCAATCTCTGACACAGAAGTTTATGACAAACCTAACAACAAGTAGTTCTCAAAACAGCTTAAAACTAGCGATTTAAAAGAAAGAAATATTTTATTTTGTTACAAGTATCCAACAAATTACAACGCATTTAAAGTTAAACAATAGCGTTGGCTTATAGAATTGTCAATAAATGCACAATCACAAATTACGCGGATGAATATGTTTTTATCAATGAAAATACTATTTTTAGCCATGTAGATTACCGAATACTACACAAACCGAGTAGTGGAATATATAGATTCTACATGTCGGACTGTTTGGGCGAGAGGATTTTCGCTAAAATATTTACTTCAATTTTAAACAACAGGTTTACCCTGAACAAAATACCTCGAAATTAATAAGGATTACAAATGCAATGGAAGTTCTAAATTTAGAATGACTTGATATTATTCAAACATTTTGTGTATAACTTCTCCGTGGTACAGTGGTAACGCGCTCGCTTAGTGAGTAAGAGGTCTCGAGTTCGAATCCCAGTCGAGGAATTTTTTTTTTTGTTAAATTCTTTTTTTAATTGTTTTTGTTAAGGAAGTAGCCATGATTTACAAGGATAAAGTGTGGCTGTCGTAAAAAAAGTACATAAATGATTTTTTGATGCAACTCTAGTTATGCAGAATTCCGTATGTGCCTTACAAAATGAATTATAATACATAAAAATAAACTTATACAGGAAAATGCATACAGATATACAGTACGATTTAGATTGCAAAGATCAGAAAATACCAAAGAACTTGAAGCCCTTTGATTCTTTATAAATATACATGCTTATAGTAAGCTTCAGGATTATTTACATCTGTGTTAAACAACAGTTAAAAGTCGTTACAAGCCCTAATTCAGAATAATATGGTTTTCTTCAGGCCGTTCACATATAAATTTAACCGTGGCTGAAGGGTTTTCGGGCTCGCTTAGCAAGCGAGAGGTCTGGAGTTCAAATCCCAGTAAAGGTAACTCATTTTTTTAAATTGTTAAAGTCAAATAAACATTGGATTGAATATCAGTGTTGCAATTAGTCTTATAGCCAATTTACTACAATTAAAACGCTGGAAAGCATTGGTGGCACTAAACATATAATCTCACAACCTGCACCTTTCTTACATTCTGAGACCCAAACAAATTCAGCGCCTTCTGTGCTTTGATTTATTTATGCTCTGGACAAAAATTAAGTATGAAAAATAACAAAAGGCAATAACTGAAAAATAATGCAGGGTAGAGTTATCATTCCTGTGTGCTGCACTCCTCTTCAATATGATCTATCCACCTATGAAGTTTCAAGTTGATACCTCTAACACTTTTTGAGATAAGCTCCGGACACCTAGTCATGACCAAAACCAGTGAACATTTCGTCACAGGCTGAGAAAAATGCAGTCTGATCGGGACTCGAACCCGGGAACCCGAACAGATCTGAAAAAAGTGCGCTCTTATAATTTCATCCCGGATCGTCCCGGATCATCCCAGTAACTTACCGGAGTGGTCCTGTGCTCTGTCGGGAGTAAGTGAGACAGCAGCTTTTCTTATGAAGTACTTTCACAGACACAGGTGGCCTGTTAAAAGATCAAATCGACTCTAATTAAGTCTGTATATAGATACAATAGGAATTAGGGAACGGACCACACTATTTTTTTTTTTAATTTTACATTAGATGCAAATGAAGTGGAATATTAAGGTTGTTTTGTTTTAATATCTAATAATTCAAATATACCGGTAATCATGTGTTGTATGTAGTAGTCATAAAACTTGTACATTTCACGAGTATTTCGTGCCAACAAGACACTAAATAATTATCATACAAATGTGTATTGAAGCGAACCGCGTCTATTACGCGCTGTACAATTGCAGCTGCGTAGCAGATGGCTAGTTCATAAACATCTTTATTTTTTCTTTTCTTCTTTTTTTGAAGGTAAAATTTAAAAGCTTGTTTTTTTTCTTCTTGTTTTTTTTCCGTGAAATATGCAATGATATAATTCTATACTGTATACAGTATATTTCACAAATTAAAATAAGATGTGTGAAGTTGGCGGCCTGGCGGCCTGGCGGCGTGAAGTTGGCGGCCTGGCGGCCTAACGGCCTGGCGGCCTAACGGCCTGGCGGCGTGAAGTTGGCGGCCTAGCGGCCTGGCGGCCTAGCGGCGTGAAGTTGGCGGCCCAGCGGCCTGGCGGCCTAGCGGCATGAAGTTGGCGGCCTAGCGGCCTGGCGGCCTAGCAGCCAAAAATTTTAATGTTCTAGAAATGTTTTTTTAACAATAAAACGGCATTTAATGAAGTTTTAAAGATAATTATTGTTATTTAAACGATATATCTAAAGAAAAAATCACTTTCAGAGATTTTTTTAATTTTGTCATTTTTGTGAAGTTGGCGGCCTAGCGGCCTGGCGGCCTAGCAGCCAAAAATTTTAATGTTCTAGAAATGTTTTTTTAACAATAAAACGGCATTTAATGAAGTTTTAAAGATAATTATTGTTATTTAAACGATATATCTAAAGAAAAAATCACTTTCAGAGATTTTTTTAATTTTGTCATTTTTGTGAAGTTGGCGGCCTAGCGGCCTGGCGGCCTAGCAGCCAAAAATTTTAATGTTGTAAAAATGTTTTTTTTTAACAATAAAACGGCATTTAATGAAGTTTTAAAGATAATTATTGTTATTTAAACGATATATCTAAAGAAAAAATCACTTTCAGAGATTTTTTTAATTTTGTCATTTTTGTGAAGTTGGCGGCCTAGCGGCCTGGCGGCCTAGCAGCCAAAAATTTTAATGTTGTAAAAATGTTTTATTAACAATAAAACGGCATTTAATGAAGTTTTAAAGATAATTATTGTTATTTAAACGATATATCTAAAGAAAAAATCACTTTCAGAGATTTTTTTAATTTTGTCATTTTTGTGAAGTTGGCGGCCTAGCGGCCTGGCGGCCTAGCAGCCAAAAATTTTAATGTTGTAAAAATGTTTTTTTAACAATAAAACGGCATTTAATGAAGTTTTAAAGATAATTATTGTTATTTAAACGATATATCTAAAGAAAAAATCACTTTCAGAGATTTTTTTAATTTTGTCATTTTTGTGAAGTTGGCGGCCTAGCGGCCTGGCGGCCTAGCAGCCAAAAATTTTAATGTTGTAAAAATGTTTTTTTTTTAACAATAAAACGGCATTTAATGAAGTTTTAAAGATAATTATTGTTATTTAAACGATATATCTAAAGAAAAAATCACTTTCAGAGATTTTTTTAATTTTGTCATTTTTGTGAAGTTGGCGGCCTAGCGGCCTGGCGGCCTAGCAGCCAAAAATTTTAATGTTGTAAAAATGTTTTTTTAACAATAAAACGGCATTTAATGAAGTTTT